CTTGTAGGTGTACACCCACATGCAGTCTAAGATCTGTTGACCCTTTGCTTTTACTTTCTTTGCGGGCACTTCAGACCATGATTTCATCTGCTTATGACTCTTAAGATGCACTCTCTGGGCTTCCTTCCAGTAGTCCCTGAGCGGATGTCCTTCTACCTGCCTCTGGGTTGACGGTGGCGGTGGAAGTTGGTTGAGATGAGGCCTTAGTCCTTGTGCTAGCATACGTTTCATTTGAGCTTTATCTACTGGCCTGCCTTCGTACGTTCCGATGTACCCAGCCTGTGTCCCAGCCATGAATGCGGCCTTCTATGGGACGGTCTTTGATAAGGCATCTGAGTCCTTAGTGTCTTCCTTATAAACGCCTGCTAGCAGATGCGCAAGCAGAGCTACCGGCGGTGGAGTCACTGGTGGCGTAGGATAGGTGTGCCCCATCTTCCTTCCTTAGTGGTCTCCTGGGCTATCATGTTCTTGGGTTGGCTCAGTATCCTGTGTTGTATCGTCTTCAAAGAAAGCTTCAGTCTCCGGTTGATCGTGGGTAGGCTCTGGAAGCTCAGCGGATCTCACCCATGCAGCTATCTCATTCAAGGTGCTGTGTATGAGGTTGTCTATAATGTCTTCCTTCTTCCCGTCAAACACTGTTTCTTTATCAAAAACTACGTCTCGAGTGCTGATTACCTTGCCTATGGTTGGAATCTAGACTCTGTAGATATTGGACGACCGATATCCAACTAGGTATCCAATCCAAGCTCGCGGATCAAGACGTTGGAGTCGTGATCTGCCTCGAAGGGTGTCATCAGTCAAGGCAAAGGCCTTGCAGCCATATGCTTTTAGGTGTGCTAGGCTCGGCTTTCGAGGTGTTGTTACGATGCCGTTTTGGAGAGCTGTAAATGTGAAGAAGACTTCGTATGGTGATTTCTAATGATTCGAGTAGTTCGGCGTTCGATTGTATAGATACACCGCTGCCCGTGTAATCTCTGGCCACAGCTGCCACGGCAAGTTTGCGTCTAGCCTTATCGCGCGAGATTTGTCCTTGACTACACCCCCTGAGCGTTCAGCACTACCGTTCTGTGCTTGGGTATCTGGAGCTGAAGGCTCGAGTCGTATGGCTTGCGCGGTACACCATCGTGCTACCTCCGGCTTCGTAGTTGCAATCTCACTATCGCATTCGATCACTTTAACAGCAATGTTGTACTGCTTCTTCAGGAACTGGACAATAATATCTAGGAGCCTGATGATTGACTTCCCAGGTCGATTGTCCTTGAAGTAAAAGTCCCATAGGATACCGGAGTATCGATCAGTGACGAGCATTTGACTCTTCTCCTTCGTCGAGCTTCCCTCCTCATACGAATGGAAATCGATAGCTAGTCTTTCTCCGGGGCCTTCGTAGTTTGATCGAGACGCGCGTCGAATTTGCCGCTTAGTTTTGGCTCTTCCGCACCCGTCGCACTTGACTGTTGTAACTCCCTTAATGCGCACCCCCTTAGATTGCTGGACTAGGTGTTCGATGGCTGCCGGCCCTGGATGTCCTATGCGTTTATGCCAGCGCATCGCATTAGCTTTCTGTGGTGCTCGCTTCGCTCGAGAATTGATTGTTCTTGTGTGAAAGACTGCCTGGATTGCGTCTTGTTGCTCGAGTATCCATTGTCTATGTGCTTCTTTTAGGCATGCGATCGTTGAGTCGTCTCGCCTCTTGAGAGTCGTTGGCTTATTCTTATTGTCCCACCACACGCCCTGTTGCCTAAGCAGTCTGAATGATACTAGATTGCATAGGATTTCTGGACACCATGCCACATCTTTCAGCACGAGCCTAGTTGGTCTATATGGACCTCTCAGGTTGAGCCACACTGTTCTATATCCTTGTATCCAAATTCGTGTGTTCCCAGCTAGTATGCAATCCGCCGTAACGGGAGGACGCAGGCTTCGAAGTCGAGTTCGGTCGTTCGTGACGTGGATCGTCGAGCCCGAATCAAGGATGAAGGAGTGTCGTAGTGGGTAGTCTAAATGCTCGGCTTGGAAAGATGCAGCAATGAACGCAGCATTGATTGTTGTAACCTTCCGACCTTCAAGTCAGTTAGTAGATATCTCAGGCGTAGGAGTGTGAGAGTTCTTGAAGCTTGGTGTTTGTGTTCGTTGTCTTTTCAATGCCCTTACTTGTTCCTGTACATTAGGATCGTGTTGTAGGCGTAGCTTAACTAGCTCTGATATTGATTCCCTTGGCTTGAACCAGTCTGGGGCATTGTTATCGTCAATATAGAGGCAGTTGGCAAGAAGATGGCGTAGTCCACAAGCAGGGCATTTTGTGCCTCTAGCTGCCGCTTTATCCCGATTCTGAGACTGCTTAGATATGGTCAATTGACTAGCTGGGCGTTTTTTTGACGAGGACTTCCTCCTTGACCCCTGTTTAGGTTGGTTAGATGATGCGCTATCGGGCACGAGAGAGGCGTCCCTGTCCGTGTCCTGGGTGGATGCACCACTGCCAGCGAGATATGAAGCTTCACTTGCAGCAAAAGCGCCCTTCTGCTGTCTCCCTTTTGGGTAGTATAAGCTTATGTGATCTCGGAAGCGTTTCATCATTTCTTTTCGATTCATTCCTGGCTCGCGTCTCCCTTGGTCTTGAAATGTTGGTACCTAGTTAGGGCTGACCTTGCTGACTGCGTTCAGGAAGTCTTGGATCACATGATTGAGTTTTTGGACTTCTCCAATTTCTTCAGTTTCTGCGATAGTTGCTGCGTGATCATACTTAGTTAGCTAGCTATCCTAATGTGTTGGTTGTCTCATTGGCTTTAAAGCTGCAATGTATCGATCCTGAGCGCGCAGTTGTTCTTCTTCATCGTCGATGCCGACTGTGCTCTTTAGACTGGCTACGCATTCTCGGATTGAGAGCTTTGGTCTGCAGCACGTCTTCTTTAGGTGGACAGAGACTGTTGCTCGAATGTAGACCGACAGCTTGTCTAACCTTGCATCTTCGTCTTTGTAGTTTGTTGCTGCAACTTTGTACGAGTCAAGTCGCGTCTTGTAGTAATCCACATCAGTTTTAAAGGCGGTTTGTCCACCATTCGTCAAATCAGATGGGTTCGCTGGAGGCCGGTCTCCGATCGCCGCCCGTTTCTCATACGTTTCGATGTTTGGCTCGGTCGGAGGGGTCGGCTCTGTCTTCGGCACGGCATCGCTCGTAGGGTCGACGAGGTGCCAAACCCTAAGTGATAGGCATCTGGCTTCTAGCTGCTCGTACCAAGGCTTCCAGCTCATATAATCTGTGAGAATAATGTCGGAATCGCGGTTTGTTGGTTGCGCCATTGCTCTCGCGTAAGGTTGAGGCAGTGAGACTCTTAATTGTCAGATTAAATGCTAAAAATGAGCTCAGGAGAAGTTTATGATTGCGATGATGGATTATGTCTTGATCATTGTTGTTTTTCGTTGGTCTGTTCTCTCTCCTTTTTGAACATAAACCTGATACGTCGGTGATACCTAGGTGATACATAGGTGATACCGTCCACGATGCAGTATCGCTTACTTCATCTGACAATAGTAGTAGAGGTCGAGGGCGGAGTCAGGCAATAGAAGGCATGGCTTTATAGCATTGCACATGTACACAAAACTCGACAAGCCAGGTAGCAGACTTCTCAATGAACAAGCTGAACAAGCCAACCGCTCCAGCTTGGCTTGATGGAGATATTTTGTGTTAAGGCTTGGCTTGATAGGCTTATTTGAAGTTAAGGCTTGGTTGGCTTGGTCGGCTTGGTCGGCTTGGTGACTTTTTGTTGTTTTTAGCTGCCGATTTCCCAATCAAGTAGCTAGTATGCGTCGTCAATGTCCTCGTCAGATAGCTTGCCTCCGCAGAAATCATCGTCCCCAAATCCAGCCCGTTGCCAGCGACGTATACACAGCATAGCGGCCAGCAATTGGGGCCCAAGTTTCCTTCTCCGCGGCTCTAATAGATCACCAAGTTCACTAAACATACGCTCGCAGTCGCAGCTTGAAGCAAGTATTGATAATATATCTATCGCAAGTCTGCTGAGGTTCGGATATTGATCGCGCAAAGCTACCCAGTAGAATACTGGGTTATTAGCGTCGTGACTACCATCTACCGCGATCGGCTCGCCCTGCTTCCATCGTTGATACTCGTCCATTTCGCTGTCGGTTGTAGGCAAATGCTCAGGATTAATATAGCTATTAATAACGTCATCGATCTCGTTTAAGCGGTGGGCGGCGGCAGGTATCGTAGCTACAGGCGTCGCGCGCGGCGTGTTGTATTGAGCCCACAGTTGGAGAAAAGCCTGGTTGTTGCTATAGAGCCACGCTGGCTTATCCGCCCAAAGGACGTCACAAAGCTTCTTGTAGCGCGGATGGAGTATAGTAGCTGCGTAGTAAGCTGGAGAGTCGTCAAGTTTGCTGTAGTACTCGCAGAGCTTCGTCCGTGCAGCTCTCAAGTTGATCTCCAAATGGTCCTCTGGCGCCTCATTGTGAGCGTTGTAATCTACCGCCTCGTACGTAGCAACACGATCCTCATACTCCTTCAAAAGATACTCAAAGACGGGGATTACTTCAGCAATTGCTCCATAGGCACCAGAAGCGCTACGGCCCTCTAATCGTTTTGTAGCTGCCTTCAGCAGTTTAAGAACAGCTAGATACTCAGTAACAACACCCCAATCAGCAGCGGTGAGTCCATTTAACCTCATCCAGTCAGGAGCATCAGCTAGCTTATTGCCTCAGGCTTAATGTAAGTAGATTGTGTGTATTCTGCTTAATCACCGAGAGGTCTGTAATCTAAGCTTATATACATAGAGTAGTGGGCTGATTGGTCGCTGGATAATCCACGTGACCATGCAAGGTACCCTGGGCTTACACAACTACTATAATGTCCATTAGCTATTCCCTACAGAACAGCCGCAGCAGACGGTCGTTCTAAGCCTGCTTAACATACGATTACACTAGCGGGCAGAGCTAGTAGAATTCCGCTGCTAGGCTAGCCCCTCCTTCGCTAGCGCTGCGACGAACTGCTAAGAGTACGCTAAGTCGACAAACTTATTAAACTTAGTAACCCCCGCGCCGTCTTCTGTAAAGGTCAGGATTAACGCGTACTCGTTCGCATACAGCCCGATTTTCGTGTGCGCTGTACTAGACGCGTGTATAATACAGGTGTGCGCCCTCGCATCGTGTATCTCCTCCATGACAACGACCTGCAGCTGTGTTAGCCACCTCACACTATGCTCGGCTGGAACGCACTGACTGTAAAGTTCGAGTACAGGGGCATGATTGTGTTAAGGTAGGCGCGGTATTCGTCGTTGCTCTTCGCGGCCCAGTTCATAGAGGCGGGCAGCACGCGATGCTTGCAATCAGGGGATCGATAAGCCATGATGGCGTCGACATCCCAGGCGTTGTAAGCGTCTATGATCGCCCGAGCTGTGTTCTGCTGAGCCGCCAGACTGTGTGTGTTAGGAGTGAAACACAATTATGCTATTGTCCTAGCGATTGCGGAACTTGTGCTGGCGAGGATGCGCCCGTGGAGAGGACGTACTTTGGCGAGGGGGTATTGCTGGAACTGACAAGACACTGATCCAAGTTCAAGCCGATCCAGACATCGCTCGGCTGTGCATTAGGGCTTGTAAGTGGTTGCGAAACGACAAGGAGGGATAGCGTGGTAGCAACAAGGTGAATGAGCTTTATAATAGCTGCCTGCTATGTGTAACGGAACGTACGATACAGAAGTGCACCTAGGTTGCGCAAAAGATGCACTGTTATATATGGCGCATAACCCGCACTAGCGACACAGAGAAGCATTACTGTGTTGCGGCGCATCGCTATGCCTTTGGGCGTGCTACGCGAAGAGTTAAGGTTCCGCTTCTGAGCACGAGACGTAACATTCCATCTACAGTATGCTCGAAGCAGTTTGTCCTTTAATCGTTAGGACCACTGCCACCAATTAACGGTCTAGTGCTTGCATCCTATTAAGAGTTCTTCTAAAGTCTTGTTGTTTAACATACAGTACTGCACGCTTACGCGTGGACTCTACGCGTAGCTTAATGTCGCCAGGTAGTTAAGCTAAGTAGTTTAGACTGCGAGGGCACTTAGCATCACTAAAAGAGCTGTGCCCGAGTGGTGCGACGGCTCACCACTAGTCGCGCAAGCTGCTTAACTTTAATCGTACCTTAGTTAGCGCGCTAAAGTTAACAACGTGCTAAGAAAGAGAATAGCACGGAGTCATACTCGCTACGGCCGTCCAGTATACATTGACAGCTCGGCCAGCAGCTGTGGTCGAGATCGTGCGCACTAACGTCGAAGTCGTCTCTCTCTACAGCACTCTCTCCTCGCAAGCGTCTCGCCTCTGTACTAATATGCGCGCAAAAAAAGCAGTGGTGTTCGGTCCGCAGCGCCCATCAAAGCCACCAAAGCAGATGGGGGTCTCTAGATGAAGACGATCTGAATGGTAGTTTTGATAAGGATCATGAGTATGATGAGGAGGCCAGGCTTTCAGCAGCGTCAAAAAAGAAGAAAGGGCTTAGTTGGAAGGATGCTGGGCCGCTAGGAAAGCTTCACGCGATTGTCGCTTATATGAGAAGTTCAGAACTTCTCTACAACGAATTCCTTAATGCTGTGGGTCGCATGATACCTATAGACAACGATACCTGATAGAATAGCTGGCATACTATGAATATAGTTGCTTGTGAGCTTGAAGGTTATGTTGATACCTTTGTCAAGAACTACTAGAAGGCGATTGGGAAGCACGCACTTACACCTGACGATTGGGAGACTCTGCGCGAGATTATCGTCTTTCTTAAGCCTTTTGAGAAAGTTACGACGGGAACTCAATCCGACCTTGATTCCATTGAGAAAACCTTGGTGACAATGGACATCCTTGTTAAGCACTTGGAGAAGCAGAAGAACAAGCATGCAAACAATGCCTAGTTTTAAAACGCAGTTCTAATGGCTTGGTATTCCTTCGACAAGTACTACAGCCTGACTGATTAGGTACTAGCTTATGCTGCAGCTTTGCTTCTGCATCCTTTAAGGCGAAAGCGCTATATTGATATGAATTGGAAGAAGTCTTGGGCTAGAGCAGTACTGCCAAAGCTCAAGAATCTCTGGGAAGAGAAATATGCTGTGATCGACGAAGCTAGTGCTCTAACCTTGTCGCAACCGACCTACGAGCTGGACGAATATGATCTTCTAGAGCGAGATCTAAACGTGGTTTAAAAGTTCGCTGACGATTGGGAGTCTTTTATTGAAGCCGATCCTACCGAGATCTCTACTAAGACTGCGCTGGAATGGTGGTGTCAAGAGCAGCAACGAACACGATACCCACGACGTTCTTATATAGCAATCGATGTCCTTTCTGTACTAGCAATGTTAGTAGAAGCAGAGCGAGTCTTCTTGGGCGCGCGACGTTACATACTATGGAGCAGGACTAGCTTGGGAGCGAAAACAATTGAGTAGATGGAGTGTCTAAAACACTGGCTACGGAAGGGCTGGCTTGACGAACTTAACGTCGATCTACCTCTAGAAGAAGGCGAGATAGAAGTAGCAGACGAAGTAGAGGCTGAATGCAGCGGGTTGCAAGAGACGATGGATTTCACTTAGAAAGCCTTATCGTTCCTAGCTAAGGACCTTAATATATTCAATATTCTTAATATGTTTTTAATATATTCAATACTTAATACTTAATACTTAATACTTAATACTCAATACGGACTTTTTCAATATTGATTTTTCTTAATATGAGGTCATATTGAGTATTGAATACCGAATACAGCACTGGTGTACAATACAGTACCTTTGATGAAATTCCATTCGATTATGACAGCGATCTGTACATTCATCGCACTCCTAAATGAGCTTCTCTGTACAATCTTCTCCTTCCCCACACGCCTTGATCTTCCGAAGGGCGCCCTACCGCCTCTCTCATTCATTTCCCCATCTTCCATCTCTCATCTTCTTTAGGTCTGAGCCCCTTCAAAGCTCAACCATCTTTCCCGGATCGAAGCCATTCGATTGCGCGAAGTAGTAACCACGCTGATTCGTAACGAGTCTGGTCTGATGAATTTCGTGTTCAAAATCACAATTGAAATGAGTGTGTCCGAACGCCCACACCGCGACACCTTCCGAGGAGAAGCAAATCTCCTGGGACAAATCAGTCATGAAGCCAGATGAAATAGTACTGCTCTTGTGTTTGGGATCGATAGCACGAGCATCATCGGTCGGAGAGTAGTGTGACATGATGATGATCTTGCGGTCCGATCCCTCCATGAGCTTCTGAATTTCAGCGTTGAGCCAACGAAGCTCAGATTCGTGCTTCTGCACATGCTCCTCCACGGTCCAATTCTCGATGTGGTAGAAATCATTGAGTCCAAAATTGACAAAGTCTTTTTGAGCAGCTGTGATGTTGGAGAAGAGCGTGCAGCCGAGAATAGACACCGTTGGCGAGAGATCGTACCGCGTTTGGTCAAGGAGGACAAACTTCCCACTTGCTTGTTGTTCGGTTTCAGCCTGGAGCGTGAGAAGATGTTGCTTGCTAGCCGCATAAGACGAGTGATATGGCTCATGGTTGCCGAGCACATAGAAGATGATTTTGAATTTAGCCAGGTGCTTTCGAAGAAATTCGATCAAACCGACGTCCTTGGTGTAGCCAATGTCCCCGAGCAACGCAAGGTACTCTGCTGTTGGAGTAATTTCAAAGACATCGTACGCCGCTGGAACCTCCAGATGAAGATCAGAGAGGATTTGTATTTTTACCATGCCTGTGGTGGTTGATTGATGGAGATGAGGAGAGAAAACATTACTTGAGCTCAAGTTTGTGACGGCTGCGCGAGGTGTAATGCCTGCCAAGCCTCGTTTACCGTGGATCACCGCGAAACGCCGGCCACCGCGAAACGCCCGATCCGTGCATGCGACACCAAAACCTCAACAACGTGTAACTCTATCAATATGAACTCAATTAAGGCTGCGCTCGCAGCTATAGAATCGCTAGAGCCTAGAGAAAAACTTGTGTACGCGCAAATCGCGAGAAAGTATGGTGTTGAGCCTACAACACTCGCTCGCAGGCATAAAGGCGCATCAACCTCGTTCGACACCCGCTTCCAAAATCAGCAGGCACTCCACCTACAGCAAGAACAGGAGCTCCTACTCTACATTAAACAGCTTACTAGGCGAGGCCTCCCATCAACACGAGCTATAATATGAAATTTTGGCTCACAGATTGTGAGGAGAGAGCTTGGAGTAAACTGGGTCGATCGCTTTATTTACCGGTATCCTGATGAGCTTATCTCCAAATGGACGACAGGCATCGACAACAGTCGCCACAATGCTGATTCAGGGAGGAAGTATAGCCTCTACTTCAATCTCCTGCGCGAAAAGATTGAGCAGTGTCACGTCGAGCCTCGTCACATCTATAATATGGATGAGAAGGGCTTCCTCCTTAGTATCCTAGGTAGATCAAAGAGGATCTTTGATAGACCCTCGTACGAGAAGGAAAAGAGGAGGAGTACTATCCAGGATGGCTCGAGAGAGTGGATAACACTGCTAGCTTGCATCTGCGCTGATGGATCTCACCTTGAGCCTGCGCTTATCTACAAGTCAGCCTCAAGCTCAATACAGGACACCTGGCTACAGGCTCTTGATCATGAAACCCATCAGGTTCGAATCTCCTCGTCGCCCTCTGGCTAGACGAACAACGATATCGGCCTCGCGTGGCTTAAACAGGTGTTCGATCGCGGTATAAAGGCGAAGGCTCGATCTTCCTATTGATTACTTATCCTTGATGGCCATGGATCTCACCTACGATGGATTTTATCGAGTACTGCGATTAGAACAAGATCCTCCTTATGGTATATCCACCTCATTCAACCCACACGCTGCAGCCGCTCGAGGTTGCTATGTTTAAGCCTCTCTCATCAGCTTAGCAGGCTAAGGTATCAGAGTTCATGGAGAGGAGCCAAGGTCTTACCTCAATGAGCAAGAGAGATTTCTTCCCCCTCTTCTACCAAGCCTGGCAGGATTCCTTTAAGGAAACGACGATCCTAAAGGCTTTTAAGGCTACAGGCCTCTCACCCTATCCCAGGGCGCTAATGACATTCAGCCCTATCATTAATGGGCGACGGGATTCAAGGCTATGGCCCAGAATCCCTCGAGAAACCCTGAATGAGCGACGCAGAATCCCCTATCCCAGGGCGTTAACGAAACTCAGCCCTATCATTAATGGGCGAAGGGATCGTTGGCAATGGCCAACAATCCTCCAAGAAACCCTGAATGTGGCCATCAATCCCCTAATTTGCGAAACCGAAGGGATCGTTGGCATCTTAGGTCGCGGAGCGCTGCAACTGCACAGCCTTGTGCAACAAGATTTAGCGCGTCAATTGAGCCTGCTTTAAAGATAATCCGACTGTTGTAGAGGGAGATATGTGATAAATAGTGCTAGGGTGGTCGTGTTCGTTAGGGTTAGCCGTGCGCGCAGTATCGCGCCGATAAGGGTTAGAGTTATAGGGCCTAGCGCGTTAGGGTTAGATAGGGTTCAGGGTAAACACTAAAAAGCAACGTCAATCGACGTACGCTAAATTACTGTAGCAACACCACACCCAGTAGGATTAAATAAGTTCCAGTAGCACCTACATAACATGTAGCGCATTCGTTAGTAGAACAGAGAATAACAGCATAGAACAATTTCACGCTATATTAAGTATCTGCCTACACATCGCATTGCCGTATGCAAGCGTTACTAGCAAGGCATCGTGAAGTCCTAGTTAGAGGCCTATTTAAAGAAACAGCACTAAGAGTACGTTTAGGGGACACGGCTAAAGATTATACAGGCAGCAGCGGAGGAGACGTTGTTGCAGGAATGGGTCAATGATGCCGACCAGATTGTTTACCCTAGCCTAGAGGCCGCGCCATTGCCCTATTTGCCCGTATACTACGACGGGTTGCAGTGTTCAGCGTGCCCGTACATCAACCGCAGCATTAAGCGGATTCGGGACTATTGTAGAGAGGAACACGATTAGGAGGACTATCGCTAGCTATTAGAAGGCCGTTAGCTAGGCACACAACCCGCGTAGAGGATGGTATCGTGCCAGAAACTCTACAAGGGCAATAAGCTTAGCCGTTTGTTCTAGGTCAGCGTAGACGCAGCGGTCCCGTGCACAGGCGACAGCGTAGACATGGACGTAAGCTAGGCGATTAAGTCGTCGTTAAGTTAAGCTACCGCCTAGTTAGAAGCATTAGAGAAGGAGAAGAACGCTACCGTCTAAGCTAACACTAACTAGTACGATTTTAGCGAGTAGTTAAACTATTTAGGGTAGGTGTGAGGAGTAGTTGGGCAGGCACTGAGATATCGGTATAGGCTTGTATTGAGACGAATCCTTGAGGAGCTATCAAGCCTCTCAGAGGGATGATATATACCTACGTCACGTGATTGTGGCTGGTGTGATCCGACGGTGCCCCGAAGGGTTCCCGGTGGCTCACTAGTCTGTGGCTGGAATCCTGTGGTGATGGAACATCGTGACAATAGCCCCCCCCCTTCTTGAGAGTCGTCCTGACTCTTACAACGGTCTTTGCAATGTTAGCGCAATACTTTTACGCTTAGAGCCCGTCCGCGCTTTACGTCACCGTGTCGCTGTCGGCGTTGGTCCGATCACTGCCCGTTGTCATCCTGCGACCCAAACGCTGGGGCATGTGAAAACCCTCTATGAGGAAAAATCTTACTATGCTCCGCACTTCGGCTGCCATGGCCGCAGCCACATTACCTAGCTATCTCCCAGCTTCACCGCGGTGAATGATGGGGTGTTTAGCCTGTTTGTCTTGTAACTGTCTAGCACGTAGCTTAGTGTTTGCGTGGTGTTGTTGGGGTGTTGAGCGCATTTTGCTGTGTTTGCGACCCTATAGTGAGGTAAGCGGTGAGGCACTGCTGCGACTACGGAGACCCCTTGGGCATGTAAGAGCGCGAGGTGATAGGGTATAAGTTGCAGTGTTTTGGAATCTTTTCTGCATCCAACCTTTATCACAACGACAACAACAGTCTACTGCATCAACACCACAATGACCATCCACGCCAGCACTATCTCTGGCGCCGTCCCTTCGAGCAGCATCCCGTCCCACATCTATAACCTGCCTCAGCACCTGCAAGCCCAGCCTCAGCTGGTGAGGTTCGCCTGCCAGTCTTGCCTTGTGGCGCTGGTTACCGTCAGCAAGCCCGGGGTCAGCGACGGGACTGTGAAGGGATTTGCCCGGGCCTTCATGGAGGACGAGTTCTGCACGCGCAACAGCTCCTATGGTGTCTGCAGTGGTTGTCGTGAGGCTTATAAGTCGGGTTGTTCTCCTGTAAGTGCTGGTTGCTATCGCAATGGTCCTTGCTAATGTCTTACAGGTTGATCCTCCCTTCCGCCGCGCCGTCAACCTGCTTATGTACCTCGTCGATTACGCTACCCGCAAGAGCATTAACGCCATGAGGGATGGTAGCTACTTGGAGGGACAAGAGCAGGAGATGTTCGACGCTGACGAGAACATCCGCGAGTACTAGAAGCGGGCCTTCGACTACGCGAAGGAGCTCCGTACCGCGTTCTCCGAACATGCCGCCCAGGTCAAGCGTGAGATTACCCGCTCTAAGATGTCCGACGTTGAGTGGGCTAAGGCGCGTTAAGTCTCCCGCACCTTCAACCTTGAGCGCTATACTGCTGGCTTGGGTTCTTAGGGTTTGAACGCGCCTTCTAATGTTGTGGTGGACGCTGGCCTTGAGAGGGCTTCATTCTCTAAGGATGGTACCGCGTCAGGACGAGAGAAGCGCTGGTACTACTATGGTCGTGAGGTTCTGGGCGGTCATGAGGTTCAGGCGCTATATCTGAATGTGAGTGAGGCTGGCAGCTCCCCGACTAAGCGCCGTTACAACTCCGAACGTCGTTCCTCTAATGCCCTGATGGGAGGAGCTGGTGACTTCCTGAGGGTAACTGAGGTCTCTGGTGGTTCTTCTGGGGTTCGTAGTGTATTTGTAGAATGACATCTTCTTCTAAGAACTTGGTTTTGTTGTCCTAGTAATGCTTTCTACTTGCGATGACATGGGGTTGCTCACAGCTTCCCTGTCCCCTCCCCTCTTAGACTCTTGGGTCTGGCGACGAGTTGTTGCGTGGCCATGGGCCGTCCTTGGGCCGTACGGCTCCCGCCGCGTGCCCGTGATACGTCCCTTGGGTTGGTATGTATTCTGCGAGGATTTGCTCGCAGTTGTCTGGTGGTCTTCTGGTTCCTAGGTGCAATCCTGGGCTGGCCATCCCAGCCACTTGACCTGTATTCCCGGCCTCTGCCGTGGTCTCCCTGTGTTCCAGGATGCCTTCTACCTTGTACTGTCTCCTGCGGAGACATCTTCTGGTATCTGGATCGGTCCTGGTTTGAACTTAGTGAACTCAAAGGGTTCGTTCTAGGGTTCTAGGAGTGCGATGTGAAGACGGGTGTATACGGGCCATCGACGGAGGAGGTCGAGTCTGTATGCCAGCTTACCGATCTTCTTGGTGACCGTGAATGGTCCTAGGTACCTGGCATCCATCTTCTTGGAGGGTCGGCTCGTGGTAATGTTCTTTGATCGAAGCAAGACTGAGTCGCCTTCCGCGAAGTAGAGCGGTAGTCTAGACGTGTTGTACTATTTCGCGTTCGTACGCTGGGCTTTTTCCAAACTAGATTTGGCTGCGCTGCTTATGTCCGCCCACTCGGTAAGTCGGTAGCTGACCTGCCGTCGCAGTTCTGGTGTTGGCCCGCCTTCTGCC